ATGAAGGGAGGGATTTGAGCTCTGGAGGAAGTGGGATGGGAGAGGTGGGAAGTTGTTCCTGGAGATAAGGACATGCAGGGGAGGCCACACAGCAAATGCTCTGGGGCCTGGTTTCCTCTGCTCATCTGAGGTTCAAAAACTGGTAAAAAAAAGATGAGTGTAGGGCTGGTTGGCTCCAGGAGGTGATGGCCACACACCTGCAATGTTGAGGGTGACTAGGTGGAGGTTTTGGGCAAGCAGTGGGAGAGGAGCAGATCCCATGGAAATCTTTGAGGTTTGGGGTACCAGGAGGGTCCCAGGGAGGTTTCAGTGTCTCCATCCTTGGATGGTTTCAGGAGCAAACTGAAAACAGCCCAGAGCAACCTGGTGTGACCTCATGGTGACCCTGCTTGGAGCAGGAGGTTGGAGTGAAGATGTCCCCAGGTCCCTTCCAACCTGAATTTCCCTCTGATCCTAAACCATACCAGACTGTTCCTTCTTTTGAAGAACTTTTCCAGAGACACCAGCACACCCCTCCAGACAGCAATTTCCTGATTGTTTGCAGACCAAATGTCACGCTGGTAAATCTGATATGGTCAAAGAAGGTGGTCTTCAAGTCCCTTCCAACCCAAGTTACTCCATGATCCTACAGCACCTGGAGATGTCCCAAAACATGTTGAAATGAAAAAGCCATGATACCAAATTATTCTCAGGGGCAGTGGTTTGTTCCCCCATCAGGCAGCAAACATCTCTTTGCTTCATCCACTGTTGGAAAAGCCAAAAATAACTTCAGCAGTGACCTCCACCAGCACCAAATTCCCTCCTTGCATGAAGCCAGTTTGCAAACAGAACACCCAAAAAATCATTTCCATTTCCTGGTCACCCTCAGCCCCCTCTATTTCTTAGCCAAACTCTTCATTTACAAAGAGCAGTGGCTACAACAAAACAAGTCTGGGTAACTCGGGGTCAGCACTGCTATTTTTTGAGATGTTTCCTGTTCTTGCAGGATCTTGGTGTGTTGTGTCTCCATCACCTCCTGCATCCCCACCCTGTGTTTGATGGGTGTGTGGTGCCAGATTCAGGGTGGTATAAACAAGCAGATCTCAGCTTGTTGAAGTAACTCTCACCCTTTTGTTTTCTTTGACCTGGGGGCTGCTTTTTTTGTGATAAGAATAAAACAATCATTTCAGGGCAGAGGAAATTTTAATATCTCTCCTCCTAAAATAGCACTAGAGAAGAATGAAGATCTTCTAGCCTGAAGAACTTGGATAGATGGAGTAGCAGGCTTTTTATAGCCATCATCATTTATTACTTAATTTTCCCTCCCCAGGTAAAAGTGGGAAACTTTTCAAACAGTCTCATTTTATCCCTTTCTCAAGCTATTCATAAATTTTTCAGTAAGAGCTCTTTTCAGTAGGCAGCAAGTCCATTCTCTGAATGAACATCCATTGCCTGGAGGATGGACTCCTCTGAAACATTCATGGGATCCCATAAATACAACAGGATCCCATAAATCTGAGCGAAAAGGAAGAAAAACAGTTCTTATGAAGCACAGCAAGGGACTACCTTGTTTGTTTACCATGTAAGCAGAGCACAATTCATGTTTTCTCTCCAAGAAATTGGAATTATTTCCTTAAAAGTGCTGTTAGAGTAAGAAAATAGCTCCTTGATGCTACAGAGGGATAAGGAAAAAGCAAATTGAAAGCCCTAAAGCATGGATCCTTGGCTCTTAGGATGCTGAAAATGGGAATTGTGAGTCATAAAGCTTTTCTGTTTGTATTTATTTGGAGCTGCTGACTCTGGGTTTATTTCTGGGGTTGCCTTTGCCCATCAGGGATGGGGACAAGTCTTCCTGAGGTTCCACCATCCTGGGAAGTCCTGCAGGATGGCTCATGGATGGTTCCTTAATGTGCACCAGGACATCTAATCCATCCCACAGCCCACACTCCCAGCAGCCAACGTTTTCCATGGGGAAGGGTTGTGCAGATCCCGAGATCATGGGATGTATAAATCCATTTTTAAATAAAATTCAGCCTCCAGCCTCACTGGGCAACCATCAGCCCAGGGTGGGAAGTTTAGGCATTCCTCATGGATGGGGGAACAAAGAACCTCTCCAGGTGTACATCTCAGGGTGAACAGCTAATTTTGGCCTCTCTGTGTATACAGCATTGTTTTCTCCAGCAGGGATTTGCTAAAAATAAACAGCTATCCAGGGAAGAGGGTGTGCAGGCAGCTGTTTCTATGGGGAGATGCCAATGCTGAGGTACCCAAGCTGAAAGCACAGCGAGGATCAGCCCTACCAGGTCACACCAGCAGGCTCAACCCAGATCTGCTGTTTGCTTTTGGACAAGACCTAGGTCAGGAGGACCCACCAAGGAACACCAGCAGCAGCTTTCCCCCTCTTTCCAAACCACTCTGCCTCCCCTCTTCCTCTCTTTGGGAATTGTTGTGGATTTCATTCAGCTTCTGCAGCCCTCAAAACATGCAACAATAGTGGGATAGTGCAGCTCAGGAAGCTGAGGGCAGAAACAATAGCTGATGTCACGTTCTTTCCCCTTCCACCTCACCTCACTCCTTCTCCAGGAAGCCTGACCTCCCTGTTGGGTGTTTTCCAGGTTGTTGGCCTGATTTGTCATCCCAAGGGAAATATGAGGCTGCAGGCCACAGCAGCGGTGTGAAATATCACCTCTTGTTGGCCGAAAGAGTTTTGGGGGAAAAATGTCCCTAAATCCCATCCTGGGAACATCCCTTTTCCCTCTCCTCTGCCACCATAGCCTTGCTGTGTTCCTGAAGCTTTGGAGTGCCTGGGCAGGCTCATGGAGATGAAGAGCAGATGGAAGAGAGGAGATGGAAGGAGCCAACACAGAATCCAGATGTTGCAGGGAAAGGATGAGCTGTCAGGACATGTCTCCTTCCTTTTGTGGGTGCTGGATGTAGAGGGGGCTTGGGAAAGCCTTCTGGAAGCTGGTGGTTCATGGACTGCCATGGGACAACCAGCAGGAGCTCTGCAGGAGGCTGCCCACTCAGCAAACGACAAGAGAAGCAGGAGGAATGCATTCCAGGATCCTTCTAGAGGGAAGCTAAGGGTTTTTAGCAATCCTATCCACTTTTGCTCCCAGGCCTTCAGGTCCCATTGCTGATGCTGCCTTAGCAAGCTCAAAGCCTGTCCAGAGGCTCAAAAACCAGGAAGAATTTGGGATTGGGACAGTGCCAGCTCCTTGTCAGCACAACCTGTGCCATGGGGACTTGTCTGTACATGGAACCATCAGAATTTTATCATGGCCAGCTAAAACGCTTCCCAGTGGCTGCAGGGCAGCTGGGCCACGGCCCAGAATATTTATTTACCTTGTCTTTGCTCCGTGGCACTGAGCAAAGTCCGATTTGGTTTTTGGGGAAAAAAGGAAAGAACACTTTGGAATGCGTTCTCACCAGGTTAAAAGCCAGGTGGGAGAGAGAGATGCTGAGTGTTCCCCTCTGGACTGGGGTCCTTTGGGAAGGGAAAAGGAGCTTGCTCCAGGCAGCCCCATGGCTCCATCACACCCCAAAGCTGCAGATTTGGGGCTTTACACTGCTGCTGGCAAATACTGATGTAATTAAAATAAGATGCAGACAAGGGGTCTTATCCCACTCTCCACCAGGGATGAGGAGCTGGGGGGATTAACAGGGCTGGACACAGTGCAGGGAGCTGGTCACAGATTAGCGCTGGGGGATGGGGATTAACGTTCTGAGGGGGAATGAGAGCCTCCACAGCAAATTCAGTTTGCCTTAATGCTTACTCAACATCTAGTGCTTCCCCCGGGGGTGGGCGGTGAGGCAGGAGCCACAGGAGGAGCGGGATGTGCTCCCCTCAGCTGAGGGATGAGTGATTAATGGCTTTGCACCCATGTCCCCCTCAAAGCCTGGCTCCAGATCCTTCCCTGCCTTGTGGCGTCCTCAGTCCTTTATAAATCCTTGCCCCTCAAAGCCTGGCTCCAGATCCTTCCCTGCCTTGTGGCGTCCTCAGCCCTTTATAAATCAGGTTTACTGCCCAAAATCCCAGCTCCTGCTCCCTGGGAGCTGAGGGTGCTGACTCAGTTGTTTGGATTGGTGACACATCGGTAAAATAGGAAAAGACAGACTGGGGACAGGGTGCCAGAGGCCAGGCCAGGCTGGGATCTCTGGGCAGAGCAGGATAAGGCAGAGGAGGCAAAACTCCTTGAATTTCTGCTTTGAAGAGAATGAAGGGTGTCTGTAAGGGTGGTTGTGCTTGTGTTAGCACACAGAGGGGCGCTGGTTGGAAAGGGGGGTTTATTTTTGGGGATAACAAGAAAAGGACCATGTGGGGTGCTGGTGACACCCATGGGGGATCACGGGGCATGTCAGTGTGCTGTAGGGTGTTTTGGGGACAATACTTTGGGGACACCAGGGTACATCACTCTGTGGAGATCCAGGACACATCCCTCGGGGTTCTGTGGGATGTCGGGGGTCTCCGTGTCCCCCTGCTCCTCGGGGCTCTGTGTCACTCCGCCCCGGAGGCTTTTGTGTCACCCGTTCTCGGGGGGCTCCGTGACACCCCTCCCCGGGGTCTCAGGGTCCCTTGTCCCCCCTCCCCAAGGGTCTCAGGGGGTCTCAGGGTCCCTTGTCCCTCCTCCCGGGGTCTCAGGGTCCCTTGTCCCCCCTCCCCGGGGACTCCCTGCCATCGGACGAGCCCACGCCCCATCGTAGGGGGGGACATCAGCAGCGGTGGGGGCTGGACGCGCCCAAGAGGGAGCGGGGGGGGGCGTGAGGGGTGTGTGAGCAGGGGGCTGGACTTGGGCGAGCCCATTCCTGCCGAAGGGGTGAGCAATCTCATCCCCGCTATGTTTACTCCCAGCTAGGGCCGCTAGCCAAGAATTCCCAACCGCACTTCCTGCGAGAGGAGGAAAAACTCGGGACAAATCCTGCGCGGACAGAAAAGCTGGGAGCGGAGGGATCTGTACCTGTGTGCCATATCCTTCCCCCTCCTCGGGCCGAGTGGTGCGCGCGGCGCGGGGCGGGGCGCAGACCCGCAGTGGCGGAGCCGCCCCGTCGCTCCGGCGCATCTCGGTCGCCATGGCGCTGTGCGGCCGCTCCGCGCTCCTCCCGCCGCCCCCGCGGCACCGGCCCCGACCCCGAGCCCCGGGGCCCTTCGTCAGGTACCGGAGGGGCAGTGGGGAAAGCGAGGAGAGGGGTGACAGCCAGCGGCAGGGCTGCGCTGAAGGGGCTGTGGGGTGGGGAAGGGGTGTGCGGGGTGGGGGTCTGTTGGAGGGGCGCTGAAGGAAGGATGTGGAGGGTTCTGATGCATTGAGAAGGAATGTGGCGTGCGAGAAGCTGAGGCTTTCACAGCTGTGGCGCTGCTCGTGGAGGAAATAGCGTTAAACGCCTGTTTGGGGGGCGTTGGGGTGCGAGGGATGAGGTGCGCTGGAATGGGAGGGGATGGCGAGAGAGGTTTGAAGCGGTAGGATGGGGATTTGAGGGGTTTGGTGTGGGAGAAAGTGGGGTGTTCACAGGGCTGACGGGGCTCATTTGGGGTACAGCAGGGTTTTACAGCTGATTGAAGGCGTTGGGGTGCGAAGGATGGGGGTGGGACAGAAGGGATGAGGCATCAAGGAGAGATTTTCCTGCGTGGCACTGAGCTGTGGAGGGGGGTGCGGTCAGATTTGGGATCATTAAGGAGGTTTTGGGGTTCTGGAACAGCACCTGAGGTGCTGGCAACGAGAAGGAAAGGACTGTCCATGCTGGGGACAGGTAGATTTGTGGTGGCTGCCTGGAAGGGGGTGCTGGTGGCCCTGCCAGGGCGGCAGACAGGAGCCTGCTGTGACCTTGTGGATGGAGGGATTGTCAGAGCAGGAATCCTGCTGGAGGAGGGTGAGTGGGAGGCTGCCATGGCTCGGGAGCAGCAGGACAGCACGGGGGGGTTTGTGTGCACACAGGGTTTGTGTTTCTGTAGGGGATAAACCTGTGACAGATTTGGGAGGGGTCGGCGTGGGCTGTCTTGGTAATAAGGGGGAAAAAAAAAAAGGCTTGTGAAAGGCAGGGAAAGTGAATTAGGGTAGGGATAACTGAGGTTTGGGAGAAAGAAGAAGCTGTATTTTTGTGGGCTTCTGCTGGGAGGGTTAGTGGGTACAAAGGTAATAAAATTTCCTGAGCTTTGAAAATATGTTGGGTAGGGCTTGACAGGAGCTGGGGTGTGGGGACAGGTGAGATGGTGGCATTGGCTCTGTGGGAGCTCAGGTGTCAGCTCAGGTATCCTTGGGTTGCCAGAGCTCTGTTTCCTTTTGGAGACTTAAGGTGCACCCATGTGTGTGATGCTGCAGCCCATTTTCTAAAGGGTTTGAATAGAGCAACCGGCCTCAAGGTGTGCCAGGAGAGGTTTAGGTTGGATGTTAAGAAACATTTCTCTGCTGGGAGGATTGTCCAGCACTGGAACAGGCTGCCCAGGGCAGTGCTGGAGTCTCCAGGTATAGAAAAGGCAATTAAAAAACATTTTTGTGGTGCTTAGATGAGCTTCAATGGTGGCTTTGGCACTGCTGGGGTAACAGTTGGACTCAATGGTCTTGGAGAGCTTTTCCAACCAAAATGATTCTGTTTTATGGTACCACAAAGGACAACCCAGGAACTGAAGTGCTTGATGCTTTCAATAGGTGCAGCACAATACGTGGAAGTATTCAGCAGTGGGAAGCCAGATAATCAGGGAAGGGAGACCTTGCACGTGAATCACACACAAACACTTGGCCAAGCTGCCTGGCTCTTGTGCTTGCTGGAGATTTTCAATTAAAAAACAAACAAACACCAAAACCAAACGGCTTTTTATCTTAAGTACAAGAAGGGAACAAAAGCATTTTCACTTTTTGGATGATTTGCCAGTGAAATGAGGAATTCTGGTGTGAGAGAAATGGAGGTTGTGCTGCTTGTTTGGAACACGTGAGCAGGGCTGGTTCTGTTCCCTCTCTCCCTTTCTGAATTGAAAAGAAGACAGAAAGAAGTGACCTTTTCAAATAATTTTTTTAAAACGGAATAAATTAATCTTAATTATTTAGAAAGAGCTTGGTATTTCTTTAGAGCTGTAAAGTATCTAAAAATTCATGACGGGTAACGAAATGCCAAGATGGTTTAAAAAAAATGCTGAAAGAGAAAATGGTTTCCACTCAAGCCTTCCTCTTCCTGAGTGATTTTTGTAATCTGAGACCCTGTTTTAGAGTTGTCATGAGAACATTCAGCCTCTCTGAACATCTGCAAGCTTTTGAGCTCCACTGGGAGATGCAGCCAGCAACTGTAATTTGGTGCATTTGTAGGAGCCATGTCATCTGTTAATTTTTTTTTCCTCCTTAACATTCATTCTTTTTTAAATTTTTTTTTTTATTGTCAGGCCAGATGGAGGCCAGCGTTTGCAATAAATTTCTTAGGCAGTCAGCAGATAGCAGGCAGTTAATAAAAATAACTTAAAACAAAACAATCTGTTACCCTCCCCCCCCCTCCACCCCCAAGTTCCCAAACAGGAATGGAAAAATTCTTCAGACTATATAAAGACTAGAGAAAGGGCCAGAGATAATTCTTGGAGTTCTTCCACATGCTTGAGAGTTTTGCTCTGCCATGTGGCACCTTGGGAGCTGGCGACCCTCAGCATTGTAACAAGTAAAGAATGGGTTTGGAAACAGAAAGAAAAAAATCCCTTAAGTAAGAGAGGAGTGCTGCCCAAAAAAGGGGAAGTCTTTTTGGGAGGTGATGTCATCTTTCATGTGCCTGTGTTTGGTGGGGAATGAGTGTTTTCTTTGTGAATACAGGCATTTCTGAGCAAAAATCCTATGAAGTGCTTGTTTTAAATATCTGCATCAGATAAAAATAACTTAAAACAAAACAATCTGTTACCCTCCCCCCCCCTCCACCCCCAAGTTCCCAAACAGGAATGGAAAAATTCTTCAGACTATATAAAGACTAGAGAAAGGGCCAGAGATAATTCTTGGAGTTCTTCCACATGCTTGAGAGTTTTGCTCTGCCATGTGGCACCTTGGGAGCTGGCGACCCTCAGCATTGTAACAAGTAAAGAATGGGTTTGGAAACAGAAAGAAAAAAATCCCTTAAGTAAGAGAGGAGTGCTGCCCAAAAAAGGGGAAGTCTTTTTGGGAGGTGATGTCATCTTTCATGTGCCTGTGTTTGGTGGGGAATGAGTGTTTTCTTTGTGAATACAGGCATTTCTGAGCAAAAAGTCGTTGTTTTAAATATCTGCATCTGAAAATCAATGCAGATTTGTTCTATTTCAGAGCCTCTGCCCCCACCCAATCTGAACTACCTTTATGTAAAACAGAGTAAGCAAATCCTCATTATTCATTATCCATGGTGGTAACATAATACAGATCAGTTCTCACCATGTGTCCATGTGGGGAAATGCAAAATGACTCATTAGGTTAATTTTTCTCTTGTCTCTTCCTCTGTGCTTTACATTTTCCTGCTCTAACTGTTCTGTTGTTAATCACATCGTGGTTAAATATGTGGCTTTTTTTTTTTTTTTTTTCCATGAATAGGGTGTTTGGGAGCACGGGACCAAAGAGCTGTTGTGGTTTCCCAACCAGTTTTTGCAGGGGACTTGTCTGTGATGAAAGATTAACAATTTTTTCTTTGCCTTTGTGTTCCTTATGTAATTCTGCTGAGGTTCAGGATTTTGTAAGAGCACAGTTGCACTGGAATTATTTAATTTTCTTGAGGAATGTGCTGTATTTTAGCAATGCAAAAAGAGAGCTGATTTGAAGTACAGGGGGAAAAAAAGAGAAACAACCCCCATTCCTTGAATATGGATGGTTTTCTGCCACCTTGGGGAAATAAGAATGCTTAGAGTTTGCTAAGGTGAGAATTGAGGGGTGTGGAACCATTTGATTGATGGGAGTAGAGAGGTAGAAGGGAAATTTGCCACGGGGAGGAGCAGAGCTATGGTGTGGACCTTTCAGCTGGAATTCTCCCTTTGTGATCATCTCAGCATCTGATTTGGAGCTTTGTGGCCACCTGGCTGCAGAGTTTCTGGCCCAGGAATGAGCCCTGAAGGTGAATTTAGTCTTGAGGTACCGAAAATCAACTTTGATTTCTGCCCTGTCCTTTGAATCAGAGTGAGTGATGGCAGAATAATCACCCTCGAGCTGCTGCTCTTTGTCCCTTTTTCAGTTTTTGGCATTTTCTCAGCTGATAATATTTTTGGAAGGGAATAATTGATGCCCTCCATAATGTGCTGCAACATAAGAAAATGAAAATGCAGACATGGTTTTTGTAAATCAAGAGAGAGAACATCAAGGCTGAGGGTCTGACTGATGGGCAACCCATCATTTATAAATATCCTCAGAAAGTTTGTGTTTGTGCAGAATGACATCAGGCAGTTCCAGATGTTTAGTGAGGAGAGATTCAGGCTTGTTCCTATGAGCTTTGAGGTCTCTGGATTACAGAATTGAATATTCCTGTCCACTTAAGGTCAAGATTTTGTCCTGAAAATGCACACAGAGTTAAAATTTATTTATCTATGTCCATTTTTTTCCTCACTGTTCCTAAAAAATTACTTGATCTCCTATTTATAGTCAAGATCCCTGTGCTCACTGTAGAGAAATTTGCAAAATAGGTGGAAAATCAACATCTGTTTTAAGGTGGCTGAATGTTGTCTTTCATGAGTGCCAAGCAGTGAAAGAGTTATTCTGAAATCAATGAAATTCTGAGAGTCTTTAGCTCAGTTTGACTTCTGGTGTCTGTTTTCACAGCTACAGTAAGGTGGGATAATGTCAGACTGTGGGAAATGCAGGAAAATCCTGGATTCTTGATACAAGCAAACATTTCTGATAGAAATCACGAGGTCAACAAAAAACCCAAGAAATATAAACTCGATTTTTCAGGGACTAAAATGGAAACAGATGCTCACAACAGCGAGTTAACAAGAAGTGAGACTTGGGGAAAAAAAGAAAAAAACCCAAACAAACCCTGTGATATATGATTCTATTTCATTTATTTATTTATTTATGGTAAATCAGGCTGTTAATGTAAAACCATTGACTTTGGTAGGCAGCACGGATCTATTCAAGGTGAGGATTTTTTCTAATGTGGGGATATTTCTGATTTTTCCCTGCCATCCATGCAGCCTTGGCCACGTGCAGGTTTTTAGGGCTGCCAAGCCTTTGTGGGGGAG